AAAATTTCCAATTTGCTCTAAGATATGAACAATTAGGAACATGTATATAAAAAATAACATTGCTTTAAAAGGCATATATGCTCAAAAACACCTGAAACAAAAGTCTCTGACTCTTTCAAAAGATTTAACTACTGCTACTGTGTTAAGTTAAAATAAATCTTAAAAATTAGTAAATTAAATTACATTCAGTTAACTAAGCAATCTATATTTATTAAGAACATGCTATTTGTCTCAGTTCAGGGGTGCACTGAATTTCAACTGGGTTTCCAAATTAGCTACCTCTGCCACCTGTATAACTTCTTTTTGTTTCATCCTTCACATTGCTATAGATTATAACAATATATTATAATAATACAGATTATTTTACTCTCACAAGAGAGTCTTGAGACACTGTGCTCCCATTTCCCAGATCACTTCAGTTCATACATATGGCTGGAAAAAATTGTGCCCTATCAAACTAGGAACATCTCTCTCCCCTGTACCCTCTTCTCCAGGGTAATTTTTGTTTGTCTGTCTCATTTATTTGTCTCTGTTCAGTTTTCCTAATACAAAGCAACAAATAGCAGGAGGGGAAGAATGAAGGGGGGGAAATCAGAGGGGTGGACGAACCATGAGAGACGATGGACTCTGAGAAACAAACTGAGGGTTCTAGAGGGGAGGGGGGTGGGAGGATGGGTTAGCCTGGTGGTGGGTATGGAGGAGGGCACATTCTGCATGGAGCACTGGGTGTTATGTACAAACAATGAATCATGGAACACTATATCTAAAACTAATGATGTAATGGATTAACATAACAATTAAAAAAATAAAGTAGGCATAATCTTGAAAAAAAAAGATCTCATTTTTTTTAAGAAATCATTTAACTTAAGTGACATCACCAGTAGATGAAAATATTTTATTTTTTTTTAAGATTTTATTTATTTGACAGACAGAGACACAGAGAGAGAGGGAACACAAGCAGGGGGAGTGGGAGAGGGAGAAGCAGGTTTCCCACCAAGCAGGGAGCCCAATGTAGAGCTCAATCCCAGGACCCTGGGATCATGATCTGAGCTGAAGGCAGACGCTTAACGACTGAGCCACCCAGGTGCCCCTAGATGAAAACATTTTAAAAAGAAGTCTCACTACATAGAAAATCATGGTATAGATTTGATATACTGTAATCAAGAGACATAAAATATAATTAGAGGGACAAGAAATGTAGCCAAAGAATAACTACTTGGTACAGCACTATGTTATAAAATAACATGTACTATGTATTACATAGCGAAATTCCCAGTTTTAAGAATAGGTAGCAAATGGGAAAACATAAGATACTGATTTTAAATACAAATGCAGTAAGTTCTAGGGAGTTAGTAAAAGAAGTGGTCAGAATAGATTCATTTCATCAGAGACTGACGTTGGCTATTAAGGAATGCATAGACTATGGTTGAGCACAAATTTTAGAAAAAAATATCCAAAGGAAAGATCAAATTACCTTAAAATAGATGAATATATATCTATAGGTATATCGTAGTCATTTGAAAAAGTTTTATGGCCCAAAACAATCTTTTTTTTTCAAATAACTGCTTAATTCAGGGAACAAAATTAAAACTGATAATTGACTGTTTCAATAGACTTAACTGGTCACTTTAGTCAAAATGATCATTAAAAGACTGGTGATAGCCAGGGGCTGCCTGGAGTGTCTGTGGGCAGGGGGGGGATTGGGAGATGTTGGTCACAGAGTACAAACCTCCAGTTATAAGGAAAATAAGTTTGAGGATCTAATGTACAGCATGGTGATTTTAGTTAACAATACTATATTGTATACTTGAAAGTTTCTAAGAGTAGCTCTTAAATGTTCTCATCAGAAAAAGAAAAGGCAACTGTGAGGTGATAAATATGTTAATCAATCTTATTGTGGTAATCATTTCATAACATATACATATATTAAATCATGTTATACAAATTAAATTTACACAATGTTATATATCAATGACCTCTTAATAAAGCTGGAAAAATATTGTCATTAAAAGACAAAATCAGTATTCCAATGACAAAATAAGTAAAAAGAACATTAAGTATGTACCTTATATGGAATAATGTTGCTGACCTGAGCTTAAATGAAACATAATAAATGGCATAAAAATAAATATAATGGTTTACTATATTTGAATAGTAAATATATTCAAATGGTTTACTATTATATTAAAAATAAATATAAAGGTTTACGATATAAGTGGGCATAAATGACAAATACTTACTAGAAAAATTGTGTTTTGTGAATTACTAAGCATTTATAATTTTCTTTACTTTGTCTTGAATTTTTTTCCAAAACATTTTTAGTGTATTATTTTAATGCCAGTTGACAAGGAAATAAGGATTTGAAATGACAAAGAAGATGAGAACTGTAATGAAAAAAGTAATTTTTACATTATATTGTAAAAATATGTTGCACTAGTAATCTGTACAAGGATTAACAACAAAAACTCCAAAGGAAAAAACTGTGGACTTTTTCTTTCACCTACAGATTGCATCTAACAAATCACTATTAACATTTACTACCTCTTTTATCTATAAATTTTAGAGGTTTTTTCTTCTTCCCTATAAAGGTATATGCTTTTATTTTATAACACTCCAATAGAAATTCTGGAAAATCCTAGTCTAGCCAGGAATAAAATGATTTGTAAACCTCTGCATACTCTGTGCTTTAAAACTGCCTAGATAACTTACACATATTTAACAATATGTCTTACTATTTTCAAAAACATTTTCTTTTATAGTTCATTTTTTTAGATTTTATTTTTTTATCTGAGAGAGAGACAGAGAGTACAGAGCGAGAGCGAGAGGGAGAAGCAGACTCCCTGCTGAGCAGGGAGCCCAGTATGGGGCTCCATCCCAGGACCCTGAGATCATGACCTGAGCCAAAGGCAAATGCTTAACTGACTGAGCCGCCCAGGCACCCCTCTTCTACAGTTTAAAACAGCCCTTTGGCTGATTAGCAGTCAGCAAAATTAAGGTCGCCAGGCAAAAAATGGTATTATCCACACAAAATTTGTCCAAACAAGTCTTCCAAGTCCTAAAATAGGGGAAATAAAGTATCTCTTTTTCCATGCCTCAAAAAAAACTTTATTTTCCCAACAGGGGAAAGAACTGAGAAAGAGATATATAGACAAAAAGTCAGTGACAAATAGCAGAAAATTTTCACATTCAATAGATTACTGTTCTTTCAAAAGTTTAAAGCATTCATTTTTTCTAGGATAAAAAGATTCAAAGGAAAATGCTTCAGGTGAGGAGACCTCAACCTAGGAATTTACACTAGAACCTGCTATCTAAACTTAATTTAATAAATAAAAGAAGAACCAAAGTCTATCTTCTTAATAGAGTCCCAGTGGAAAAGGTTAGTGGATAAAGGAGGTAACACTCATACTGTCTAATACATAGCTCGCAGAAGTGAGGATTGGCTCAAGAGAATTTAGTCTCTAGATCATCTCCAATAAACTTGAATATCCAAAGCAAACTGCATGCACTTTAGCAAGATGCTAACCCTACTCTGCAGACCATGCTCTTATTTTAATTACATATATCTATGTGTAGATGCAGACCATACTCTTATTTTAATTACATATATCTATCCATACAAGCATTTAAAAAGAATGTTTTATTAACATGGCTGTACTTAAGAAAACATGGATATATCACAATTATTATATGGTTTCCAGTCTACTTCAAATAGACAACTTCATCATCATTAATATTAATGAAATGAAATCCAAACTGAATTTTTTTTTTTAGTTTTAACTCAAGTGAACAATGTCCTTAGTCCCCCAAAATCTTTTCATAAATATTTTGGTATTAGCATACGTATATTTCTTGGACTAGACATTATGGTGCCATCTTCTTCTCATTAACTAATGTTCTACTGTAAGAAAATAGGCACTAGAAAACTTCATCTTCCGCTAAGAGACTATTCTTGTAGAAGAGCTTGGTGAATGCCTGAGTTCTCAAGGCCTAGTAGACCCATTTGCTATGGGAAGGCATTTTTTCCCAATGTTTCTGGGCACACTGACAACAAACAGGGGAGAGAGACCATTCTTTTTTTTTTTTTTAAAGATTTTTTTTTTTTCGAGAGAGAGAGAGAATGAGAGACAGAGAGCAGGAGAGGGAGGAGGGTCAGAGGGAGAAGCAGACTCCCTGCCGAGCAGGGAGCCCGATGCGGGACTCGATCCAGGGACTCCAGGATCATGACCTGAGCCGAAGGCAGTCGCTTAACCGACTGAGCCACCCAGGCGCCCGGGAGAGGGACCATTCTTAATAAATTTTGATTGATAGTTCTCTTGTGGTGAGTATGATGATATGGTGCCTAGTCCTGGCTGGCTCTGTGAAATAACAGACCACGTGAATTCAAAGTCTAACATAAATGTTCTGCTATTTTATTATTAGCAACAAAGAAAATTTAAATGGAATGTCAGTCAGGTTTTTATGTTTTCCTCTGCAGCTGCAAGCTTCAGCTAAAAAAATCTCTGCCCTATCTATATCGCCTAAATTTTTATGAATCTCACAACCCAAATTCAAATATTTCGATTTTTTTTTAGTATGATTTTAGGGCCCCAGGTGGGTGAAAAAGCTATGGTGGCAAGTGCCACTTCTAATCCATATAAATGTCATGAATTCCTGCAATAGATTTCTCCTTTCAGTTTCTTTAAATAGCCACAAATTCCTAAGAAAATGTTTACAGTTTATTACCAAGATTTGTATTTATTTGATTCTCACATTTTCTACTATTGGTTCTAGTATCTCAAATTCCTAGATGAACAATAGAGGCCACTGGATTAAAAGAAATTCAACCAAATTTGCTCCATACAATTAACACACAATTAACGCACTTGTTTAATAAATTTGTATGTATGTCTTAGAGTAATTTAAACACATAGAATGTTTTTGTTTTCATTTATCTGCAAAAAAATGTTGAAATCTTTCTTATAAAATACTACAGTCTCTTTCTCATTGACTATTCCCACCAGGTGCAAGGAACCATTTTCCCAGCTCCCAATTTCAATCCCATAATGGATGCCCAAATGCTAGGGGGAGCACTCCAAGGATTTGGTAAGCCTGATTATTTCTATTATTTTTTGTTATAATTTTTTTTTCACTTTACCTTGTTTTAAGATTGTAATATGGGTGTAAATAGCTGATGTCTAACAGAAGGCAAACATGGATTAAAACAAAAAGCTGGGCAAAGAAATAGAATAAGAAGAAAAATAATAGAAAAGGACAATAATGGTAAACCAATTTGCTCTCTCAATTGCAACTGTGATCTTGACACGTTTTTGCCTTAAATCCTTAAATGTCTCATCACTAACTACATTAAATGAAATCCCAAACCAAAAATCATCCTAGGAAAAAACATCCTTCTTTGACCTTGTTTGTTTACTAGCCTTTTTTTTTTTTTTTTTTGCTACTTCCATTTCCAGCCAAATCAAACATTCTGCTATTCCCCAAATTGGATCTGTTTTTCCACATCTCTATAAACTAGTCCAATAATCCCCTGCGTGGAATGCTATTTTCTTCTCCTGTTATTTTGCATCCAAATTCTTTTCAAGATTCTCGTCAAATAATTCTTCCTCTTTGAATCATACTTTGGGCACTCCAAACTCAACCAGCCATGCCAACCCCCAGGGCACCCTCTTCTGCACTCTTGTGTCACTGATCTCATATTCATTGTACTTGTCCTTTTGTGTCACCAGAGCTCCCAGAGTGTGGTGTCTGGTGTGCAGGTGCTTAATAAATGGATGTTCAATGAATGAAACTAGAGTTTAGAAAAGGACTGTAGAGATAAGGGAGGAAAACTGTTGAGTTCTTTAAAAAAAAGATTTAATCTTTAAGAAATGAAATGGAGCTGGTAAACATCCATATATTTTCCTTAACTAAAACCTGTTTTAAGACTTGTGATGAGCATGAAGATAAACATTGAAATTTTGCATAAAACATGCAAAGCCTTTCATAAGAAACAAGCTCTTAACTTTAAAGACAAAGTCGCCTTTATGATAACTATGTTCTGTGTGTGTGTGCGTGTGTATGTGTACGTGAGCATGAACACATGCATGCATGCTCATTTTTGTGTTTTATTCACCAGCAGAATCTCACAGGAAAACAATAAAGGACTTTAAATATGCTCTCTAAAGCTGACTTGAGGAGTTTGCAATGCTTTCATGCCTTTTAAAATATCAGTCATCACTAGAAAAATAGAGACAAGTTAACAAAAAGTTATGGATTAACTTTGTCTTCAGGAAAGTAATTTTTGCTTTAAAACTATACATCAATATATTCATTGAAAAAATTTTTCTTTGCTCCAGTTTCAATTCTCCTGTCATAGCAACTTTAGGGTCAGAATGCAGGTTCAATTTGACCATTGTAATTTTTTGCTTGTCAGTGTTTTAGACTGAAGAATTCCAGGAGGTTTAGGATTTGATCGCATACTGTCCACTCCAGCATGCCACAGCAAGAATGCACCTCAAAATGCTTTAAAGTCTATCCAACCTGATGGCCCTGGCAAAGTGTAATATAAAGATAATTGTTCATGTTTTCCTTGGCTACTGTGGGGTTTTTTTTCCAGTTTTACAGAGATATAATTGATATCTAACATTGTATAAGTTTAAGATGTACAATGTGATGATCTGACAGGTATATATATATATTGTGAAATTATTACACAATAAGGCTAGTAACCTCTCTTTACCTGACAAAATGATAATTGTTGTTGTTGTTGTTGTTGTTATGGTGAGAACATTTAAGATTTACTCTCTTAGGAACTTTCAAGTATACAACACAGTATTGTTAACTATAGTCACCACACTGTATATTAGATTCCCAGAACTTATTCCTCTTATAATTGAAAGCTTGTACCCTTTGACCAGCATCTCCCCATTTCCCCACCCTTCAACCCCAGCTGTTTCTGAGTTCAGCTGTTTTAAATACTGCATAAAAGTGATATCATACAGTATTTGTCTTTCTCTGACTCATTTCACTTAGCATAATACCCTTGGGATTTATCCATGTTTTCTCAAACAGCAGGATTTTCTTCTTTTTATGACTAAATAATATTCCACTATATATATATGTGTGTGTGTGTGAGAGAGAGAGAGACAGAGAGAATCACATTTTCTTTATCCTTTCATCTGTTGATGGAACTTCAGTAGTTTGCACTACAGTGAATATGGAGGTGCAGATATCTTTATGAGATAATGATTTCATTTACTTTAGATAAACACCCAGAAGCAGGATTGCTGTATCATTGTTTTTAATTTTTTGAGGAACTTCCACACTGTTTTCCATTGTGGCTATACCAATTTACATTCCTACCAATGGGAATTCCCTTTTCTCCACATTTCTTCTTGTCTTTTTGATAATAGTCATTCTAACAGGTGTGAAGTGATATTTCATTATAGTTTTGATTTGCATTTCCTTGATGATTAGTGATATTGAGTAGCTTTTCATATACTTATGGGCCATTTTTATGTCTTCTTTAGAAAAATATCTATTCAGGTTCTTTGCCCATTTTTAATTAGATTATTTGGTTTTTGCTATTGAGTTGTATGAGATTCTTATGTATTTTAGATATTAATCCCTTATCAGGTATATGGTTTGTAAATATTTTCTCCCTTTCTGTAGATTGCTTTTTCATTCTGTTGTTTCTTTTGCTCTTCAGAAGCTTTCTAGTTTGATGATGTAGTTCCACTTGATTTTTGACTTGGCTACTGTGTTTTACTTAGAAAAATCAGAAAGCAAAAAAATACTCTAAAGCAAATGAAAATGAGTAGTTTTAACAAAAATTGTCTTAAATTGTATAAAAATTCACTAATCACACTAAAAAGGAATAACTCTCAGTTAATATTCCTTAATAGTGCAGTCCAGTATCCTTTCCATTAGAAGCTACTTTCCCAAGCTGTGCAGTCTTAGAATAACTGTGTTCATTTTGTCTCAATTAACATATGTAATTCCCAAATCATCCCTATGAGATGCTAGACAACTGGAACTATTTTTAACTTACATGCCTAATTCTTGACAAAGCTACATCAAGTCAAAATCTTTTTTGAAACAGTCAGTGCTATTTAGAGTGGACGTTCTTGCTTTGTTCCTTATCTTTGTCCCCATTAAGTATGTGTTCCCTATAGGTTCTGCTGAGAGTTTTCATCTTAAACAGGTGTTAGATTTTGTCAAAGGCTTTTTCTTCATTTGTGATACAGTCAACAGTTTCTATTCTTTATTCTATTGATGTAATAAATTATGTTAATTGATTTTCAAATGTTGAGATAAGACTTGCATACCTGAAAGAAACACCACTTGGTCATAATGCACAATTCTTTTTGTACAATATTGAATTCAATTTGCCAATTTTTTTTGAAGAATTTTTACATCTGTGTTCATGACAGATATTGGTCTGTAGTTTTCCTCTCTTGTAATGCTTTCTCTGGTTTTGGTAGTAGGGTAATGCTGACCTCATAGGATGATTTAGGAAGTATTCCCTCTGCTTATATCTTCCGGAAGAGACCATAAACAAACAAAAGAATCATATAATTTTATTCTTTAAAAGTTTGGTAGAGTTCACCAGTGAACCCATCAGGGCCAGGTGCTTTCTGTCTTGACAAGTTATTTAATATGTGTTTAACTTCTTTAATAGATATAGGCCTATTCATACCATCTACTTCTCTTTGTGTAAGTTTGGGTAGATCGTGTCTTTGAAGAAATTGATGCATTTCATCTACAGTATCAAATTTATGCGCACAGAGTTGTTCTTAGTATTCCTTTCTTATCCTTTTCATATCCATAGTATCTGTAGTAATGTACCCTCTTTCATTTCTGATATCAGTAATTGTATCTTCTCTCTCTTTTTTCTTAGTTAACCTGGCTAGGGGCTTATCAATTTTATTGATTTTTTCAAAGAATGAGCTTTCAGGTTAATTGATTTTCTCTAGCAATTTCCCGTTTTCAATTGAATTTATTTCTACTCTAATTTTCATTGTTTATTTGCTTTGGCTTACTTTAGACTTAATTCATTCTTTTATTCAATTTCCTAAGGTGGAAGTTTATATTCGTGATTTTAGGTATTTATTTCCCACATATTTATTCAAGGCCATAAATTTTCCTCTAAGCATTTCATTTCCTGCATCTCACAAATTTTAATAGTTTATATTTTCATTTTCATTTAGTTTGAATTTTTTAAATTCTCTTGAGTCTTTTTTGTGTTATTTGCAAGTGTGTTGTTTAATCTCCAAGAATTTTAGGTTTTCCATCTATCTTTCTGTTATTGATTTCTGGTTTAATGCCACTGTGGTCTGAGAGCTTATTTTGTATGGTTTCTATTATTTTAAACTGATTAAGGTATATTTTATGTAGTCTATCTTAGTATTACGTGTGAGCTTGAGAACAACAACAATCTGTTGTTGTTGGATGAAGTATTCTATAGATATCAATTATATCAAATTGATTGATGATGTTATTGATTTCAAACATGTGCTTTTAAGTTTTCTGCCTGCTGGATCTGTCCATTTATGATAAAGAGGTCCTAAACTACTGATAAAATAGTGGATTCATCTGTTTCTTCTAGCAGTTCTATCAGTTTTTGCCTCATGTATTTTGATGCTCTTTTATTGGGCTCACACATATGAAGATTTATAATATCATCTTGGAGAAGTGGCCCCTTTATCATTATGTAATGGTTCTTTTTATCCCTGATAATTTTCCTTCTTCTGAAGTTTTTTGTGTTAAAATTAATATAGCTACTCCAGCTTTTTTTTTCCAATATGTTAGCATAGTATATCTTCCTCTACTCCATTATAATCTATCTCTTGTGGACCACTCAGTGCTATTTAGATATAATTTGAAATTTTAGTAATAATTATTTTCTTGCTTAGTAGACCACTTTTACCTATTTGACCATATAATCAATGTTTATTATTCACAGATTCCACATATGCTAATTTGTCTACTCGTAAAATTCATTCATAACACCAAAATCAACATTTGCAGTACTTTCATGGTCATTAACAGGCATATGCAGAGAGGTGTAAACTTTGAGTCATCAGAGTGCATATTCCAGCTGAGAT